TGCTGAGTTCCTCATTGACAATAACTATTTGGATATTAAGTCTTCCAACAATCTGTTGGAAATCCGATGGGCATTAATTAGACCCCTCTATTAGCCGACCTGTTTTTTTTTTATTCCTATGAAACAGAAATTATTCAAAAACTTCTACATGAGAAGAAGAAGACAACTCTTGCCTTTAACTACACATTTAGATATATCAATGACGTTTTAACAATTAACATTAATTACTTTCATTCATGAAATGTATAGAGATAACGAACAGTATTCAAGCTCAAAAGCCCATCAAACAATACAAATTTTGGAGCAGAGCAAACACGGACCTCTAAAACATCAGATGTGGGATCAGGTGCCATGGAGGAGTGAGCATCCTCTGCCGATCAGTCACACCCGCCTTGTGCTCCTTGTAATGATTGGGTAATAAAGGAAAAATCCGTCGACAATTCAGTGCGTAATTAATGGCTTAACAATTAGTAGGAAAAACGTCAGTCAGCGAGAGTGTGATAGTCTTGTTTCATCAGCTTGTTTGTCAATAACTAGAAATTGATCATACGTAGAGCATGTTTTGCGTATCGAATCAACTGAAAGAAATACACCCCGTATGCAGGTGATGAAGGTATATTGATGCATAAGTAAGGAAAGTTGACGATTGAAAAGTTAAAGTCATAACGTTTATCATAAAGCTTGGTTGTTATATTACCATCTTTTTCTAGGAAAATATTCAAATATGAAACAGATGTGTCAGGCTCGGTGTTATCTTTTATTTCAAGCTCAATGGTATTATCGTATCGACATAAGAATGAAAGTAACCATTGTTAATTGACAATATTAATACGTCGTCGATATATCTAAATGTCGAGTTGAAGGACACAGCAAGTGTTTTCTTCTTTTCACGTATTAGATTTTGAACAAATTCTGCTTCATATGAATACAAAAATAGGTCTGCTAATAACGGGGCGCAACTGGTATATTGATGCATAAGTAAGGGAAGTTGACGATTGAAAAGTTAAAGTCATAACGTTTATCATAAAGCTTGGTTGTTAGATTACCATCTTTTTCTAGGAAAATATTCAAATATGAAACAGATGTGTCAGGCTCGGTGTTATCTTTTATTTCAAGCTCAATGGTATTATCGTATCGACATAAGAATGAAAACAACAATTTTTAATTGACAATATTAATACGTCGTCGATATATCTAAATGTCGAGTTGAAGGAAACAGCAAGTGTTTTCTTCTTTTCACGTATAAGATTTTGAACAAATTCTGCTTCATATGCATACAAAAATAGGTCTGCTAATAACGGGACGCAACTGGTACCTATGGGAATTCCAATAGATTGTTGGAACACCTGGTCTCCGAAAATCACATAGATACTGTCAATCAGAAACTCAAGCATCTTTTTAATATCAACTTCAGAGTACTTGTGTGTACAATTAGAATGTTTTTTAACAAAATAATTTTGCAAATAATCAATGACAAGATAAGTAAATTTACGAGTTCCATTTTTATTGAAAAAGCAGCTGCCAATGATATCAAGAAGCCTGAACTTTGATTTATCGTGGGGAATGGTTTATATAAGGTTGAAAAGTCGTAAGTTTTTTATGTTGTTGATTTTGATAAAATTTTGTGATTCCAAATTTTCCAAACGTTCCTTGGAATTTTTAAGTATCCACATCTGATTTACACCACTTCTCGAATACATTGTTGCACAGTACAGGACTGGTGCACTACTGCTAATATTTTAGTTAGATGTAAAGAAAGAGTGTTAGTAGAACATTTACTGGAATCCGCTATGTTTCTTTGTTTGTAAAGATTTTTTATGAAATTTCGGAATCCAATATAGATATGGTAATTGAAATTCATTTTGGTTGTTGGAAATATTATAAATATTCAAAACTGACATATGATTTTAAAGAATTTCCTCCTTAGAAAGGGAGCTATGGGTATAAGTTGGTTTACCACTTGTTGAATTAAATCCCAGTTTCTCTAAAATACAATTTAAATAATGAGCCTTACAAACAAATTCAATGTTGTTACCTGCTTTGTCAACAGGGACCAGTACATACATGTCCATTGATTGATCAATTTTCAACCATCTGTAATTAAATCCTAAAGTAATCAAAATGACTTCTGTATTTGGTTTGATACCAAGGGGTTAACTTAATGTCGAAATTCTTTTTTGAAATTTATGTACCACATATATACTACTACAGGTTTGATAGCAGGGCAGTGTTCCAATAAATCATCATACCTTCCCCGTGATGAGATACTGGGTTTTGATACATAATCTTGATCCTAGATTTTTGAACTATATTCACTATTAATATTTCGGTTAAGTTAATGAGATGAATGTATTTATTATTCCTTCACTTAAACTTTACATGTAATATGTAATATGAAGATAATGAACAGTAATCATGCTCATAGTCCATTCAAACAATACAGATCGGGAGCAGAGCAAACACAGACCTCTAAAAAGTCAGAGGTATAATAAGGTGCCTTGGAGAAGTGAGGATCCCCTGTCGACCAGTTACAGCCGTCGTGTGCTCATTGTCATGATTGAGCAAACGGAAAAATCCAGTGTGTTAATAATGGCCTTACATTAAGTTTGAAAAAAGTCAAGGGGCATTCGACTAAATTATAGATTGTACTTGCTGACAATTTCATTGTATTGATCACAGAACTGCGAAGTGATAACTTTAAACTGTTGATATGCTTGTTTTATCAACTTGTTTGGCAACAGCTTGCCTCCCTATAGAAATTGCTATACGTTGAGCATGCTCTTGTGAATCAAATCAAATGGGAGATATAATCCCCATATACAGGTGATAAAGGTATATTGCTTCATAAGATATTGCTACATAAGTAAGGGAATTAGTTGACGATTGAAAAATTGAAGTTATCAATTTCATCATAAAGCTTTATTGTTAGGTTACCATTAAAGTATTTTTCTAATAACATATCCAAATATGAAACAAATGCGTCATACTCTGTGGTATCTTTTATTTCAAGGATATATCGAGTTGACATATGAATGGAAGTAACTTGTTTATTGAAAATACGTCGTCGATACATCTAGATGTCGAGTTGAAGGCCATAGCAAGTATCTTCTTCTCGTGTAGGAGTTTCTGAATAAATTCTTCTTCATATGAATGCCCCCCCCCCCACCTATTCTTAAAAGAAGATCTCTTTAAGGGCTTCAAAATTTAATCACAGATTTAAGCCTATTTTTACCATTGGATCCATAAAATGAACGAAAGGTTTGAAATTTTAGCACATTGATATGAAAAGAATTCACTGTGGTTGATCTCTTGATAGGGTTTGAAAGGATTTGTTAACAGCAATCAGCTATTTGTTTTCGAAATTTACCCTTAAACCCTAAAACCAGTATGTTTTCTCTATTCGAATCACAACTGTTTCATTACATTATGTAGGTCACTGTAGCCTAGTGGTAGGGCGTTCGTAAGGCCTGGGTTCGATTCTTGATCGCCATGGCGCGTAAAACGTAAGATGAAAACATAGGTAGTGAAAGTCATGGGTCTTCCTGATAAGAGCGTATAAACCGAGGATAATTGTCAAAGTAGGCGTTGGCACGATAGGGAACCCTCAGCGCTCAATGGCCTTGAGTACCGAGTATAGATCTAATTTTTGTCCTTCATCGGTATAAGCTGATGTCTCTTTATGAGTCAAAAATTTTCAAATAAGACGTTAAAAACACACAATCATACCATTATATTCGTATATTGACATATAAAACACTGTAGTTGACATTTATCCTGACTTCTAACTTTGTGATCCTAAAATGACATTCCTCTTTTAACCTAAAATCCCTTCAGCAAGAATGCGAAGTAAAATTAAAACAATTTCCTTGAAAAATAAAATCCTTGAAAAGGGACGGATACATATCTAAGTAGGAAATAAATATGAAGGAAATTATGATATAACTACATATTTATATTTGAAACCCTTTAATAATTTAAATTTTTACAAAAAACGATAAGATATAGCATAAAATTGTTCATTATACTTCATTAAAGAAAATCTACCTTCAAGCCTTTTTTCTCCCAAGACATGTTCACAATTCACGTATTCTTATAAATGTAACAGTAAAAATGAAAATATTAGGCAAACTAAATTCTCTTTATCATACAAAATTAGAAAAAAAACCACACAGAATTAAAACAGAGTTTAAAAATAAAATTCTTTTCCTTTCTTCCGACACAAGCGCTGATAGAGTTTGATAAAAATACCTTTCACGGAAAATTAATATTTTACTCAAAGATATATACCACAAACTAATTTTCTTATCTTCAATACAGGAAAAAATACATTGTAATGTTTTCAATAATTCTTTCAATAGAAGCTTAATTAGACAATTACAGTAGTAAACAGAAGAAAATTGCCTCCTGAAAATGTTTCCGGAAACTTAACAATTACAAAACTTCAAATATTCATCAAACTTTTCAATTTTTTTTTTTTGACTTTTGAAGTTACATTTTCCCACTTTTCATCAAATTATATGACTTAGATAAATATAAAGTTGCTTAACTAAATAAATATCACTTCTTTTCTGAGAGAGGCATTTATTTTAGTAAAAAAAAAAATTGAATTTTGGTTAAAAAAAAATTACCATTAAATTTGAAATGTATCATCAAATTTATTTTACTTGGCTAAACAATATATTTTATTATATGCAGTCAAGCCTCGTTATCTCGAACGCAATGGAACCAAGATGATTCGAGATAATCGGGGTAAAAGAAAACATAACAAACAAGTGAATGCCACTACCATTTCACTTCGAATTGTCCTTAGTATTCGATATATCGGTGTTCGACACAACGAAGTTCAACTTTAATAATCAAGTTTGAAAAAGTCTTGATTATCAAATTTAGTTATGTAAGGTAAATTATTATTCATTATTTATTACAAATATTTAATTGAATGTAGTTATATTCTAGTCATATAAGCCTCTGTTATCCATAGAACCCAGCTCTATACAAATTTATCGTTCACATTCTCTAGATAAGTCTGAGAAGGAGGTAGCTATTCGCACTTTCGGTAGCGGTAAATTTTCTCCGATCTTTGTTTTTATATTGTATTTTCTACTACTTACATTTAAAACTCTTCTAAACCTTTTCAGGGCTTTAATGTATGGAAATCGCCGTTTTTCCTCTCTTATATTTCCATCAAACAGAACAACAAGCATGTTTTCGATTTGATTTTCGGATATAAGTTTCCATGCGTGGTTCATTCCATAATTTAGAATATCAATGTTGTGGTCATTTTGTAAAGGATTAGATAGAATTATGAGAATACTTCTGCTTTTCTTTAATATTTCGTTTTGATAAACATAGCGGACAACGCCCACTTCCTCATGAACGGGAGGAAAGAAGCAATGATACCCTTGTTGGTCAAGATATACGTAGACATCAATTGCAAATTTATTCACTTCCGAATTTGAGTCATCGAACAAAATAAAGACATCATGATCGTACGTGTTTTCCTTATGATCCACAAGGTGATTTTTTAGAAGCACGAAGTCAAACCTTAAATAGATAGCTGCTGCAGCGGCCACTAAGACGACAAAGGGTACGAGGAAAAGACTGAAAATAATACTGTCAAAATCATCTTCATCACAATCTGAAAAAGCGTCTTCTGCTGCTTGTCGTAGTCCGTCTGAATTGGTGCAAAATAATGGATTTGAAGATTTATTTTGCACAGGTGATCTCCAACTGGCTATCCACGTATCCTTGCATTCACATGGTACACTGTTATTGCCAAACCAAACTTTATCTGCATCAATTTTTATGAATTCCCTTGGAAGTTTCTGGAGTTTATGATCCAGCAAAAGAAGAGATTTTAGGCGACTATTATTCAACTTTTTCAGAAATTCATCTTCGATTGTTCCAACCGCATTTTTCGACAAGTCCAAAAGAGTAATGTTTGATAAATATGAATGGTGTTTGAGAGTATTCGGAGAAGTGAGTTTCGTTATTTTATTGTTGCTGCAATTCAATTCGATATCATAACTGGTCTGAGGAATTATGTGTGGAATTCTCGTTAAATTCATGTTGGAACAGTCTACAATCATTCGCATTCGACTTGGTTGTTCAATACAGGAGCAATTCTCCGGACAGAATTTTGTAATATGACATATAAATTCGTCAAATACTGAAATGTTATTGAATATTTTAAGTACATCGATACCTTTCATATTTTCTGGAGAAAGACACTCGTACTGTGTTTTATTCGGAATGAAATAGAATTTCTCGAACATTTCCTTGTCTGACAGAAGGAGCTCCCCTAAGTGGCAATCACAAGGCATGGTTAATTTTGAGAACCAGAGAGTCCCAGTGTGATTATATGTATAAGCTTTTTTAATTTCTGAAGGTTCCTTAAAAATGACAGAAACAGGATGTTTATTTGTTTTACATGTTCCGAAAATAATATCTCCAACTCCATAACTTTTCTTGTCAGATAATTTGAATTCGGGAACATCTGTAAATGTGAGGTTGGATTCATCGAATGAAATGTTGCAAAACAGTCTTCTCTCGGGGAAAATATTAGAAATGTGTAAATTGTCAATGTGGTTGTGCGATAAATCTATCACAAAAAGTTCCGTATTTTGTAGTTCAAATATATAAGGTTCAAGTGATTTGATGCCAGTATGAGCCATTCTGAGTACCCGTAGGTTTTGCATATTTTGGAAGGTAGAATTTGTAATGAACTGTATGTCATTATAACTTACATCTAAAGAATCCAATGCCTTTAGGCAATTAACTCCTTCAATGTTTGAAAGCCTGTTTCTCTGTAAGTCCATAGTCACCAAAATATCACTAAAATTACAAATATTATTTGGTAATTTAGTCATTCGTCCGTTCCGATGAATTATCCATTTGAATTCGGTTAACGTTTCGTTCGTAACAATTTTACTATGACCAATGGGATTCAAATATTCCATATATAATGGTTTATATGATACATTAGAAAATATCTCCCAAATTGGTTTGCTTTTACAAGCACAACAGAACTCAAACTCTTCCTTGGTGCATGAATTTGGACACATAATATTTGGTTTCTGTGGACCAAACTTTGAGGTCCAATCCCGAAAGTCCGCCTGAACAATGTCAGTCTGAACTGTCTCAACACAGCGAAATAAAATGAACATAATTAAATATGCTTCCATCTTTCCTTATTTTCAAATACTTCTCATATTTTAAAGAATGAATATTTACGTGGCTGGGTAGGGAGCAAAATGAATTTGTTCATTTTTCTAAAGGAACATTTTATTTATATATTCATAAACAATATTGTCACATGAGTGGACCCTTTTGGAAATGAATGACAACATGCGTGTTTATTAGATTGGTTATCAGCCTATAACTAGGTCGTGCTTTTTTAATTAAAAAAATTACTATTTTAAATGACCGATATATATCAGTCTGGCTATTGTGCTCAACTCAAAATCTAATATTACAAGTCAAGGTAAAACCAATGAACATTGGGTTTTTCCCTTTTTAAAGATAATAATGGTTTTTAGATTGTAATAGATCAAAGACTTTTTTACTTGTTGCTTAAAAGGAGAGGGGAACTGTTCGTTACATAAAGAGTTATAGAATGGGAATGTGGTTGTAAAAAAATGCTTCTTGCAATTGACTCAATCAAACAAAATCTCATCTGAATAATTATTCATGAATTATGAAATAAAGATCAAAAGGCTAAAATAACTCAGTTTTTTCTTTCTGCATACAAGAATAAATGGGCCTTCATATTTATAGTAATGTCTTATTCTTCTAGTATAGCCAATAATTGAACACCTTCATAATTATAGAGATGTGTTCTTCATCTAGCTTAGCCCTTAATTGAACACCTTCTTATTCAGAGATGTGTTCTTCATCTAGCGTAGCCCTTAATTGAACACCTTCATATTTATAGAGATGTGTTCTTCATCTAGCGTAGCCCTTAATTGAACACCTTCATAATTATAGAGATGTGTTCTTCATCTAGCGTAGCCCTTTATTGAACACCTTCATATTTATAGAGATGTGTTCTTCATCTAGCTTAGCCCTTAATTGAACACCTTCATATTCATAGAGATGTGTTCTTCATCTAGCTTAGCCCTTAATTGAACACCTTCATAATTATTGAGATGTGTTCTTCATCTAGCGTAGCCCTTTATTGAACACCTTCATATTTATAGAGATGTGTTCTTCATCTAGCGTAGCCCTTAATTGAACACCTTCATATTTATAGAGATGTGTTCTTCATCTAGCGTAGCCCTTAATTGAACACCTTTACATTTATAGAGATGTGTTCTTCTTCTAGCGTAGCCCGTAATGGACTCTTGTGCCTTGACTAAGGTTTCTTAAGAAATTAAAATATAATCATGAGGCAGTTTTATGGAATTCAAAATAATGTGCAGATCCCTTTTAAAAGAGCAAAACCAATATTTAAGCGAAATTCGAGGAAATACTTAAATATTTATATTGTTTATGATATTCTGAGCAAAAGGGAATTGTTAAAGTTGTTTGGATAAGCAATGAAATATGTGAGACTCAGGTGCTTTTATAATGTAAACGAACAAGTAAATAGCTTTAAATTTAAGCTAGTTAGGGTTTTCAGTTTAGTTTCAGTTCGGTTGATTTTGGTATATGATAAACTTTCATTGTCTAAAAAAAGAATCAAAATGCACCACAGGTAAAAAAAAAAGTGAGACTTCGCTGATAAAACTAGCCTCTTGTGTAGGTTTTCTCCTGTAAGATGTCTTTACCCTTATCTGTTTCTACACAGGGTTCTTCGACAAATTATATATATATATATATATATATATATATATATATATATATATATATATATATATATATATATATATATATATATATATATATATATATATATATACTTATTCTATAAGCTAAAATTTTCCATATCAATACTGCTTCTTTATCACACTGGTACATTAAGTAAGCATTAGAACCCCGAAAGTTAATTTGACGGTCGCTACATGCCCCAAACATAGTAAACAACGTATATACAGGGGCTAATAACTTAATGTCAATTTATTTCTAGCATCCAATCCCAGTGTTATATTCGCTTGCAATTGATTGAAAAATTGACAGTTTTTTTTTTACAGGCTAGGTAAATTTGAATTAAGCGGTGGTTGTTTCCTTTAAAGCAGGTACATGTACCTGTGCTCTCTCTCTCTTAATGATTAGCCAGACTGAGAAAGACAGTTTGATTATGCTCGTTTTGACTACTGGCAAATATATGGATTCAGAGGGACTTTTAGTAAAAAAGAAATAGAGACTTGTATTTTTAGAGTTCTCAATACAGTACTGGAAATTTTGTCAGAATGAATGCATACATGTGCGAATATTAGATTGTTTATCAGTAGAATTATTGTCTGACTTTAATAATTAAATTAATTAGTCAGTACTTTAATTGACCTATATATAAATATCGATCGTCCTTTCAGGCTAGGATCAAAGTCTTTTATCATTAGTCAAGGTTAAATCCAACAAATGGGTTCACATTCTAAAATTAGATATCTGTTAGATATATAAAAGATGAAATCCAATTGGTTTTTGATTGGTTGTTTAATTGGGAAGTTGGTCTTTCCAATACATTAAATGGTAAGGAAGGGGAATACCTACTCTGATTTGACTCCTTTAAGCACAATCTCAAATCAGTATTATTTCTAAGCTTGTACTCATGAAAAAAGAGCGAAAGCAAGAAGTCAGTGTTGCTTATAACCTAAGAGTATTAATTATTCAGTTAAGTTCAAATCGGACATTCAAAACATATGAAATTGTAAAACTAGGATTGTTTTATATGGGGTATTTCTATAACTTTATAAAAAATGAAGTTAGTTATATTGCAAAATATAGAAAGAAAAGCCTAAATAAGATGAATTTAGCTACGTTGCACAGAACAAGGTTCATTAAGGGCTTTTTGGCCCTGTGAATTTCTGCAAAAATCGAAACTGCTCAGTTCTAGTTGAAAATACATTAAATTTCACTTGAACCCCTGGTGTCTGCATATCTACATATATCTAAATATATTGAAAATGACATAATTTGCTCTCTAGTCTATGTATTATGACGTCATAAATTGCGTCATTATCCTCAAATCCTGAAAATGTATTTAAAAATTGCCAAAAATTAAAGCTGTTTTTCAATATTTTGCATAGACCCCAGCCTCTGATCCAAAATGTTTATTTATATAATGAAAGAACTGTTTCAGAAGATTAAAATCCATGTTTTTTGTTTTGTTTTGTTTTGTTTTTGATCGACGTGTTGGCTCATATTTGAATTGTTTGCTGGAGGTACTCAAATTCACCCATTTTCTTCAAAATTCAAGACCATTGCGATTTCAAAAACTTCTTTTTTAATATCTGAACACTTAGAGGAAATATTTTGTATAGGAAATGAAAAGCACTAAGTCTCTACATTATATTACTTTTTGAAATGGGACACTGGGACTTGGACAGTTAATTATTATATATGGGCAGGCCCATTTAAGGTAGGTCGCGGGTTTACTGCATAAAAAGTCTTACGAGAAAACATGCCCTGAAAATTTGATATAATGTTCCTTAGAATTTTCGGCATATTATCAGAATTTTTTATTAAATTTGCCTACGTGGTTTTAATGCTATATTACTGTAAACGCGGTATAGTTTTCGGAACTATTTTTACGCTTTACTATAGAAATATATAGGAAAATGACGTTTTTAAAACAATTTTACCGAAAGAGTTTCTTTAGAAAAGGTCAGATAACCTTTTAAATACATAGAAGAATTACTCAGAAATTTCAAAATATCAAGATGAGGTTAAATTAAAACTATTGAGGAAAAAATATCAATATGTCTTCTAGCTAGTTTTTTTTTTGCTAAATAATTTTAAAGTTTGCTTTTATATTGCCAAAATATTGCGTTTATGGCGTTATTTACGGCTAAAACGTCATATATTGAACGTAATCGCGTTTACATTTAAGTATCTTTATATTTGGAATATACAAGATCTAAAAGGTGACATAGATGCACACTGTAGTTTTATTCAGCATTTCACTTATTGCGGAAACGTGTTAGGAAGAACAGCTTCACTGTACTTTTCTTCTCTAGTATTATGAAATTTATATTCTGCCCACGAAGTCAGATTATTTACATTTGCAAATATTTTTCTTAGATGAACCTATAGAAGAGAAAATATGTTCAATTCTGTATGAACTTATTAGGGGGTCAGAGGTCATGGCGTGACCGAATCACACAGCGAGACGATATCTTGTCTACATATTTCTGTCACAGTGACACTGGTTTCGGAACTTCTGAACCGTCAAAGCGATGAAAAAGATAAAATTATTGAAACATATATTTTTTTTTCGTTCAACAAATGATTGTTAGATCTTTCTTTGGTGTGAAGAATGTTTCTAATTAGCCTAAAATCACGCTTACCTTTTTAACCCGAAATTCCTTTGAAGGTATGTAAACTGAAGACGATATAGCACCGCTTTTGACTTCATATATAAAGAACTAGTACAATAATAGTAAGATTATTCTCAGTAGCGATCATTGTTTTTTCATTACGAACAGTTATTTCCTGAACTGGACGGCTTAACATCCATGTAAATATTCAAATGTTGGAGCGAGGCGAACTCTGAAGAACAAACAGCTTCTAGGTCATTGCGCGTCACAACATAGCAATACGGCGGGCCGTTTGTGTAATAAATGCAGTTCTACTCAGAATATTCGTCTCAAATGTAAATAAAAGTAATAAACAACAATGTTAAAAAGTTCACTGGGAAATGAACTTGGTTGGTACGTGATCAAATCTTCTGAGAAGCCCTTCGGGCTTCACAGGATTTGATCACGTGACCAACCAAGTTCATTTCCCAGAGAACTTTTTAACATTGTTGTTTATTTCTTAAATGAACGGTATATTGATATAAACATTCTTCGTGCATTAGACAGTGTTAGAATTAATACGCAGCGATAACACTGCGATTGATAATAAATTAATACAAGTAATGTTAGGATGTTCAAGTTTATTATTAAGATTTCTAGTATAACACGTGAATTTTATCACTTTATTCGAAATCGGTTAAGGAAAAAAAAAACCACTGCTGGGGGGGGGGGGAGGGGGTACCGGCAATGTTCTTTTTATATCAATCGCAATTCAGTATATAGTCCGA